ATGGGTGATCTAATTTTGTTTTTCACATGTATATAAAAGACTAAATTACAAACTCGCATATATGTGGATTCCTAATCTTGTATAGTTATAAATTCCAATTCTCTAATGTTAAATAGTTTTTAAAGGCAAAACAAAATATTTTTAAATTAAATGTACTTATAAATTAAGCTTTTAACAATTTTTAATTATGCAAAAATAATATATGAAATTTAAATCTATATAGATTATAATAATTGTGTACAGTATTTTAGACCGCTTTTTATTTTACCATTCACATATATATTTTCGACTGCTTGATCCGTTTTTCTACCACTTAATCCGCTAGTTCTGCTTTCGTTCCGCTAGATCCGCTTGATCCGCCTGATCCGCACCGCTTGTTACGCTTTCTCCATTCGGACCCTTCATCGAGCGAACCATCTTTTCGTATCGGTTTAGAATCTACTCGACATCGTATGAAGAAAGAACTAAATCGCACACATAGAAGAGTTACAGAAGAGACGATCGGATCATCTAGATATCCCTTCAACATAGGTCGTCGAAAGGATCTCGGAGACCCGCCAAAGCACAACTGGAGTTGGACTTAAATTAAAGAAAGAAATCCAAGAGGTGAAGAAGTCACGAAGGTGAACCCCCAATTCCTAGATTAGATACGACTAAACCAAAATTCGAATAATGGCATTTCGGTCTACTGATGTATAGTTTTGGTTACTTTACTGAAAATTACAAGAACACGGTTACGTTTATCGATATATATTAAAACATGATAGTTAATTGCGCAACGATGTCCCTTTAGCGCAGTGGATAAGCCCGTTTGGCTTTTGATTGGAAGTTTGTGGGTTCGATTCCCATTGAAGTCATTTTGGTTTTTCCCTGTACGAAGAAAACTGGCATGAACGTAAACGATTACATCATGGTTCCGACTCCCACTGGTCGTCTTCAGATTCACACCTTAATGGAAAACTCTGAAGAAAAAAGTCTAGTTCCATAATTTGTTTCTAGACAAAAATGATGAATAAAATTCATTATTTGATGGGTGTTTAGCTCAAATCCCAT